GCACTGCTTGTGCTCCTAGTTATGCAAACCTCTTTTTGGGGTGGTGGGAAGAGAACATCTTTGAAGACCCACAATTTAACCAATTCCATCAGTGTATACATAAATGGCTAAGATACATCGATGATATTTTAATATTCTGGACAGGCTCTGTCTCTAACTTTACAGACATGGTGGAGGTGCTCAACAACAACCAAATCGGCTTACAACTGACATATGTAATCCACGAAACGCAACTTGAATTCCTTGACCTTCGAATTTTGCTTAACATTGACGGTACAGTTGATACAGAATTATATAGGAAAAGCACGGCATCCAACAGCCTTCTACATTGGAATAGTTTCCATCCATATCGTTTGAAGGCTGGAATACCATACGGTCAATATTTGAGGGCTAGGAGAAATTGCTCTAATGATGAGTCGTTCCAAGTTGAAGCGAATAAATTAAGAACACGCTTCAAAAGCCGAGGCTACCCTAATAGAATTCTCAAAAAAGCCTACCAAAGGGCCCTCACCCAAGACAGAAGTTCCAGTCTCCACTCTCAAAAAACTACCCAAGCCAACCAACTTATTAGGTGCATTGGGACCTTTGATAAACAATGGGAACCTATTAAAGAGATATTTACCCGACACTGGCCAATATTACAAAATGATACCGATTTGAAACCGGGATCTGTGGCTTATCCTAACATCACAGCACGCAGATCTAGGAATCTTAGGGATGTCTTGGTACACAGCCACCTGGAAAAAATTGGCCCCAATGCTCCTTTGGGAATTTACAAGTGTGGACACTGTAAAGCTTGCCCCTTCATCAATCAGTCTAAAATTGTTAAATGCACGAAAACTCAAAAGGAATTTAAAATCAAACATTTCATTAATTGTGGCACCACACGTGTCATTTATGTCATCACTTGTTCATGTGGAATGCAATATATAGGCAAAACGTATCAAGAATTAAGGAGACAAACTTTACAACACATCAACTCTGTGAAAAATCTCAATTTAAGTACTCCCGTAGCTAATCATGTACGAAATTTCCATGATGGAAACCCCAACCACCTATCTTTTCAGGCTTTAGAAAGAGTTACTCTTAACTCTAGAAAAGGCAATTACAATCTTGTACTTCTTCAGAAAGAGTCCAGATGGATTTCTGAATTTCAAACCTTGGCTCCAGCAGGTTTAAATGAAGAATTTAATTTCACCCCTTTTATACATTCATAGATCCATCACCATTATATTAACATTTCTTCAACTCATGAATATGTTTATTGAGCCATATAGGTCTCTTTAAGTATGTGTACAGTTTTTAAGGTATTACCTACACAAAGAAGCACGAAGAGGGGCTGCATATAATACTATTCTCTTTTTTAATAGTTGTACAATATCTTTATTAGATTGATTCCTAACATCGGAATCATTGCATTCCAGTTTTTTATATTATTTTTTATATTTTGGATTATTTTAGACATTTACCTGGGTTCATCCGATTTTTTCTTGGTTTTTCATTCTGAACTGTTTCTTATTGAGTGTTTTGATACACTAACTATGCCCGGATGGGGTTAAATACCCATTCCGGAGCTAAATTTCGTTATCTTATATATGTTTGGATGTATTCAATCGTAATTGTAACAATATTGTATTAGGGTGTCACAACCAGTTAACTATTCAAGTTTTGTATCCTTCTTTCATCATGTAAGACGTATTAAGATTGACTTCCCGACATTTATGTCATTGTGAAGTAAGCGCCTAATAATCCTCATTGTCACACAGATCTGTCCATGCACTTAGACATTCTCTCCTAAGCACGGAGCCTCTGTTATTCTAGTTGTCTTTGGCTTTAAACATTCACTTTACGATTTTGGCCACTAATTGAGCCATATAGGTCCCCTGAAGTAGTTTTTAACGTATTACATACATAAAGTAGCACCAAGAGGGGCTATCCTTTCTTTAATTGTTGTACAATATCATCACTAGATTTACATACTGATTCCTAACACAGGAATCATTACATTCCAGTTTATCTCATTTTGGACTATTTTAGACATTTCCCCGGGTTCATCTGATTTCTCTTCGGTTTTTCATTTTGAATCGCGTCTTATCGAGTGTTTTGACACACTAATTATGCCTGGATGGGGTTAAATACCCATTCCAGAGCTAAATGTTGCTATCTTACAGATGTTTGGATATATTCAATTGTATCTCAACAATATTGTATTTAGGCATTACGGCCAGTTAACTATTCAAGTTCCATATTCTTCTTTCACCATAAAGTTAACATAAATTGATAGGACATATACTTTCTTTCTTTCCGACTGCATATGACGTTACATCACTTTTTTATTTTTTTTATTTTTTATTTTTACATCTAACAGGTTATTAGTCATGCAAGACGTATTCAAGATTTACTTTCTGACATTTATGTCATCGGGAATTAAGCGCTTAATAATTCTATTTGCTATACAGATTCTGATTATCATCAAGGGTTAAACACCCTTTTTCACTCCAGACCTCCATGATGTCATCTATTATATCCATCGTGATTGGCCCAATCTCAACAGCGGGCTTTTCAAATTCTCCAATCATGGAGACTCATGTCCTTTAAATATTTGGGCACTTACCACACACCGGTTCCCCTCCGATGAGTTGTGGGCGAAACGCGCGCGTCAGGGGCCATCGGCGATTCCTTGCAAATACTTTACAGTGTGGAATACTGACCATATTGTCCACACTTCCCTCAGAATCCCGTCATTATGACTGTTAGAATTGGGCGGTTTTAGGTATTGGGGTTTTCCTCCCCCTGTGCATGAATGTATTAGTGGCACCCCATTTATCATTTACTTTATTATTACGTTTGATAAGCGGTCACTGATATTTCACTTACTGACAAATCCGCTCATAAGATTGTTCTACAGTTTTTTATTTTAATTTTTTGCTATCATAGACTTCCTCTTTGTTAAGTCATTCAATACCATTTGCAATATGACTTCTCTTAGACCGAACTAAGCACTACAATTTGTGCTATAGTTGATCATATACTGCAACATTGTATTGATGCAGTGTTCATTATGACTTCTCTTAGACCGAACTAAGCACTACAATTTGTGCTATAGTTGATCATATACTGCAACATTGTATTGATGCAGTGTTCATTTACCAGAGGTTCACTGAAAACTTTTGAACAGGTCCTCTGTATTTGCTATTCCCTTGCCAATGTATTCTTTATCTTTCAGGTTTATATGTTATTTTTAACCCCTAACAAGGGACTATCATTTGAGAATTGCAACCGTTATATTACAATACATTGCAACTTATTATATAGAGAGTATTATTACTCATTACTTTGTGCTATATCAGGCTATTTATACCTTTTTTTTTTTACTTATTTATTAAAAGTTAATTTTTAATTATTCGTAGGGCACTCAATGGGTTTGTCTTTTGTAATTACTACCTTGGTAGTTTTGTGTGGGTTAACCCCACTATGAGTGTTTCCCCTATAGCTTCCATTCCTCTTTTTCTCTTTGGCTAGCGACACACTTTTTTTAATTTAGCTGACAAAATTTTATCAGCTCTATTTCCCTTTAAGTAATATGTTTGATTAATTTTTATTAAAGATAGCTTGGCAATATCTAATAGTTTTTGATTTATTTCTTCCCTGATCATCCCAATTCGGGAAGCTAATTCCTCAGATGGGTTGGCCTTATTTTTTTTTTTCATTTTCAGCTGATAGAACTATATGTATATTGGCTATGGTTAATCCTTCATTTCTCTTCGCTCTCATACCCATCTGGATCAGGTGGTCTCTAATCACATATTTATGGGTACACCATATATTTTCAGAGGAGACACCCGAAGTTATATTCTCTTCAAAAAAAGAGTTTAGTTATTGCCTTAATATATTTACAGTTATCTTCTGACTCCAGAAGAGACTCATTGAGTCTCCAATATGTATGAGGCTTTATGTCCCCATGAGTCTTTAAATCTAAAAAGATTGCATAATGGTCTGACCAGGTTATTTTGATAAAGCCAATATTATTGATCTTCTGTAGTAATATATGTTCACATGATCTATTCGGGAGTATGAATTATAAACCCTTGACCAATGCGTAAAATCTCTCTGGGTGGAAAGTGTGCCAAACATCATGAAGGCCATGTATTCTGACAAATCTATTAATTTTTTTTTTTTATGTGCAGATGAATATGTGACATTACCTCCAACCTGATGAACGCCCATCAGGCGGGCAGGACCAGGCTTGAGAGGAAACTTGGCTTGAAAATAGCGAATCTTGCGGCCAGCATGTATATCAGACGCCGGAACCAAAGAACGATCTGCTGGTCCATGACCTTTCCAATCCACCAAGTACTGTAAAGTGCCCTGAGAAAACCTGGAATCAATTATGGAGGAGACCTCATACTCTTCCTGACCAGAAACAACTAAGGGAGGAGGAGGGACACTTGAGACAGTATATTTATTGCAAACAAGAGGTTTGAATAAAGACACATGAAAGGTATTAGGAATTTTCAAGGAGGCCGGAAGGGCCAGAGAGTACACAACAGGATTGAGCCTACGAAGGACACAAAAAGAAACCTAGGAGCAAATTTCATGCTAGGGACTGAGCATGATGTTATGAGAAGATAACCAAACC